TATTGGTGGGGATCACTGACTTTCTAACTGGAATCTTTGTTCCTCGTCAGGATTTATCGTTTTGGATACTGACTAAAACCCGGAACCGGTACACAAAAATAAAAGCTGCAAATCATCTGAAACGTCGAGAAAATTTTCAATATAAAATATAAATTTTCATATTTACTTAGGAAAATTTAGTCGCACCAGCAAATAAGGGTCTAAGAAAACTTGCTGCATCATTTTCTACCTATTATGGTTGATAGAACCTAAATAAACTCTGTTCATCGAAAGGACAAAAAGCTTATATCAAGCTTACGTGGTAGTACAATAAATTTTGAAATCTTGTCCAGTCATGAGACTTGAATTCATACTCATAGGTGATCTTGAATTTCTGCACTGCGTTCAATTAAGCAATTTGTAAAATCATAAATTTCAAATAGGTACCAACTTTTTCAATTTAATTCTGAATGAGTCACATCTGTTGAATTCTAATAGGGATCTTTAATTTTTGCATCGTATTTCTGAAAATCAAGTATTGCATTTCTTTTAATTAAAAACATTCTTTTACATCATAAACAATGATTTTTTCTTACAGCTTCTATGATAATTGATGATCTCACTCGTATAACTAAATATTTTAAATTTAAGATTTTGTCATTTAAATGACTAAACTTTCTTTGGTGTATAAAAATAAAATAATTACTGCTTATAAACGACCAACATTTTGTAAAAGACACAAGACATTTGAAAACTTGCGATGGGAGACAAAATCATTCAGGATTTGAAGTGAAGTGAAGTTATTAATACAAATTCGACATAATAGGGCGAAAACATGAATAAATTCGTATTTAGAAGCGTATCAATAGGTGTTTAAATTTTGAAACAATTTTCCATCATTTAAATGTCACTGTGGAATGTGGATCAAATCTATTTATTATGAAATTGAACTTCACCAGACCAAAACAAGGTGTCTGACACCGTCTTGTCTAATGTCAACATGGCAACACAATGTTGTCATACGCCATGAAAGATTAGCCGTTTATCCCATCATTCCGTGTGGATTCAAGTACTTTGTTGGTATAGGTGAAATAGTGAGAATTTTCTGTGAAAGTTGACGTAATTTTTATTTTTATTTTGGAACATATTCATTACAACAATTTGTTGATACGGATACATGTCTAGTGTATGTATTGGAGGGAGGAGTCGCTGTTGCCGGGGCTATAATGTCTCATACTGCAGGTGAGATAAACCTGTTATCTGCTTATTTTACTAGATGAGCAACAACCCTATTCTGAATGAAGAGAAATGAAAGACTGGTTCTAATAAATAATGAATTAAAAAATGGGACAGTAAATGAACATACAACTTGATAAAATTGCAAATGTAATGATTGAACTAATTTGGAATGTGAAATGAAAATGCGCTAGTTAAGTGGATGTAAGGAGCATGGACAGGTGGAGATGAGCAGATATAACTGCAAACAGAAAGAACAGAATAAAAATGCAAATCATGAATGAATGATAACCTGATGGGATGTAGAATGTAATCAAAGCAAGAACCATTAAACTCCACAAAACTAGTAAAAGCTCATCTCCATATTGTGAATTTTTTTTTAAAATTAATGAGTACTTGCACAAGGATTGAATTGAAAGGAATCACAAGTGGACAGATAAATAAAGGAACACTGCAAGATGAATTGAGAACATAAGCTTACTGGAATTAATTATAACCATAATCCAATATAATAAATTAACTTCCTTACTAAACCACATCAGTCAGAGATGAACACAACCAAAGTGAAATGCAAGGATAAAACTTAACCAAAATTATCAATGAACAAATTATATAAATTTATATGCCACTCACCAGTGCAACTGAGTGCCCAGGCTGAGATACTGAGTAGGAATCCAAATACTTAAAGAGTGATAATTAGGGTTTGCAAATGATACTTTGGTCATCTACACTGAAAAAGATAAAAAATATTTAATTTAAATTGAGTTGGATTGAAAACTAAAGAAATATGATAATTAGTAAAGAGAGACATGAAGGTTGGGCTACACAGTAGCCTAATTTAACCTCCGGTAACATCGCCGACTTTTTATTGGTTTTCGAACCATATGCAAGCGAGATAAAAGAAGCGCGGCTGTCCGGGTGTCCGCAGTTTCTGACTAGCTCAGTGTAATTGGTATCAATTGTCACTTTGCTGGAAGGTGTATGGTGGTAAGTTTTTCGATACATTTTATTATGTTAACATGATAATATATTACCTATACAGAATTCCATACTGCCTTACAGCTGGTCAGAAGGTCCTCTCCTCTTCATGCTCTCCAGATATATCTGAAGACCCTACAGATAGTAATGTTAACCATGATATGGTCATTGTTGTGGAGCCTCTTCCAGACGAACGCCCAGTATCAAAATTCTGTGCAAATGACATAGCTCTCAGTAAAGCTTTAGCTAGCTCGTACTTTGGTAAAATTGGTATAAAGGGAATTCAAAAGAACATTAGTAGAGGACTTGTGATTATTAAAATGGGAAAACATAACCCATCAATCCCATCTGCACCATATATACCTCAGCTCCTTTCCACAACAGAAATTGGGACTGGAAGGTTAAATGCTGTCTCCCACTCAATCAAGTAATGTCAACAGGTGTGATAGGTCCTTTTGGTAATGAGACCTCAGATGAGGATCTGACTCATGAGTTGCAACTGGCGGGATACTGTGACGCCTCAGCAGTGAGAATACACAAAGGTAGGGATAGGGTTCCAACATCAATGTTCAAAGTGATCTTTGCAACTAAATCTCTCCCTCCCTTTGTATACTTGGGCTACCAGCGTTTCAAAGTGGAAACATATGTTAGTAAGCCATGGCAATGTTTCAAGTGCCAAAATTTTGGGCACAATGCCAGTGACTGCAGAGGTCCATCCCGTTTTGTTGGTTGCGCGGGCCCTCACAGTGTTAGGGACTGCTTCCTCTAGAACTCAAGCACCAAGATGTTGCAACTGTGAAGGTGCACACACAGCCAGCTGTGGGGGATGTCCCTGTATGAAATTTGAAGCACTTGTGGAAAAGACCCATTCAGTTGAAAAAATTTCATAGAGATGCTGTAAATTCTCTACTAAATTTTTAATACGGTTCCGTTAATACTGACACATTGTTGTCTACCTAATGGAAAATCTCTGATCCATTGCAGTACATTTCCCTCTATTCCCAAAGACTTCACTTTACGCACCAGCCACTTATGCAGTACACTGTCAAATGCTTTGGAAAATCGAGCTACACTGCATCCACTGGTTCCCTTCTGTCCAGCAGCTAAGTTCAATTGTTCAACGTAAACAAGTTATGTGGAAGTTACTTCCTACGAGTAATTTTATTCATCTATGTCGCTCACTTCAAAGTCCCTTTGATTGAGGTTTAAGGTTTTTCGAAAGAATACCGTACTGTTGAAGGGCCGGCCAGTACGGTTGCTAATTTGTTGAGTAATCTATTGTGGAAACCGTCTGATCCAGATGACTTGTTGGCAGGGTTGGCAATGATTAAATCAAAATGATTAAATCATGTGATTAAATCACTTGATATTTTTATAAAAAAAATCATGATTTTTTTGATTCTTTTTGATTTTTTCATATATTTAAATATATTGAGCGGCAGTCTTTAATTTATATTGAGGTATTGTTATTCATGGTTTAGTATAAATGTACTATAAATAACAAATTGGTATATAAACTTGTTGCCTTTAGTGTGTATTAGGTTCCAATAAATTGAATGTTTTTGGTGCATCAAGTGTGCAATACATTGTATGTAGCTAGCAGCTTAGCTGATTCTTACAAGGCTATAACTAGTCTTTAACTATTTGACTATTTGTTATATATTGATTACAATATACAATTTAAATGTGTTAGCTAGCTTATACAGGGTGGGGCAGAACTGATTGAACAGTTTTGGGGCAAAATTGCAATAAGTGCCCTTTTTAGCCATCCATTTTGATCCATATACTATTATTGTTAGTAGGCTAATTGCAACATAAAAAATAACCTTTCAAAAAGACAAAAAAAAAAAAACTGAAAAAACAAATAAATGAAAAAAAATCAAGAAAAAAATTATTGATTTTTTATTTAAAAAAAATTAAAAAAATCACCAACCCTGTTCTTGATGAATGATCCCGACTCCACAACATTCATATTCATGTTCATAATACAGTCCGAAATGTTCACTGCACTCACTGATTCACAAAGTTTATGCACTCAATATTTGAAAATAAAATTAGAAATTCATTGTACATCTGTAACATTGGAAACACTGGATTCTTTTAAAAGTGTTTTCTTTAAAAAGTAATTTTTAAATGTATAATATTAAAAGAAGGGCATAGAAAAATCTCCTGGTTAGACTTGACCACATACATGTGTTGCTTGAGTATTAGGTCAAGAGAGTTGAGAAGATAGTTTAAAACCTAAAATGGCAATGAATGCATTGTACCTACCTACCATGGTACAGACATGGAATATATCAACTTGGCAAGTTGGCAAATGGCAAGCCATGACTGGATTTTTTAAGCCGTGGTTTTATGGGTTTGCTAGTCGTGATTCCATTTCTTTGAGCCATGGATTCCATATCTCAGCCATGAAAAGCCATCTACGAGCCACAAACTTATTTACAAAGTCTCGTAGGTACATGTGTTACCCCAAATCTCTAATTTTACCCTGAAAACAGTCAAACCAGCAACCCTAACATTTGTCTTTACTTAAGGGGCAACTGAACACGTGATAATGCAGTCTGAACGCTTTGATGTGACTCCAACAATGCTATCTTGAAGGAAACATTTTGGCTTAACATGTTGTTATTACATTCTGCAGGATATTTTGACAGGAGTGTTGAAGTACTGCGGATTGTGAAAGTTGAAAGTTTTATGAAAGTACATGTTTGCAAAGTGAAAACTGCAATTTATTCAATCAAACAAAAATCCATGACATTAGAGCCATGGGATTTCATCCTACTGAAATTATATGATATTAGAGCCATGATATTACAGAAAAAAGTAGGACTTTTCCAGCCCTGCTACATTACCACACTACCACCTTCTATGCTAGTCCTAATCCAAACAAAAACAAGAATGTTACATTTATGGAACTTTTCAAGTTCTCAAATAATGACTACGTTAACCTGATTTGCCTCTATCTTGTGCTTACACTCACTGCTTACTGCAGCTTACATATACATAGTTATTAATGAAGTGCTAATGATGCATTTACTTTCTAGGAAATTTATAATAACTAACCTACTGAAATATGGAAGCAGTCAAGGAGTCAATAAAACAAGAAGTGTTTGATGGAGTTGAAACAAATGGAGCAAATCTGAAGTGTTTTTTTTTTGCAATAGTATCTACAATTTTAATAGGTTAGCTAGCAGTAAGTGCTTCCAAGTGCAATATCATTTGAATTTTTATTTCCTCTACATGATTCTTCCAGATCAACAATTTTGCTGACAGTGAAAGAAAAATGTCAAAAAATATCTAGTTTTACATGATCCCTTTACTTGCTGTCAGGTTATTAAGTGTATCAAATTTTTAGATCATAATCTCACTACTATTGCATGCATGCTGAGATAACATACCTATGTCTTTTCAAGCATTTTATGTGGTATCTTGACTGCAAATTTGCCTCTGCTTGAAATTGGAGGAGGTCCAAAAGCAATCCTAAATAAGCCTGCTGGCATAATAAAATATTTTTTTCAAATTTCGAAAATCCTTTTTTTTCAAGGTTTGAAAACATTTTGCTTATAATACAAAATTTCACCTGCTTATATTATTATTTCATAGTTTCTGGTTGACTAAAAATTGTGGTAAGTTTGCATTTCATTTGTCTGGGAATGATTTCATTCTAATCTTAGTAATCTCCTAATCATTAAGGCCAATTCTTAAAGTATTTATATTTCAGACAAAGCCTTCACTACACAAAAAGAGATGAATTCACCTCTGAGCGGTTCAAGATTAAAGTGCGAGGGCTTTCAAAGTTCTTTCCTCCAGGGGTGAGTTAAAGGTATGGTGAAAAACTTGAAAGGAATTTTTATTTGTACCTAAATGACTTATGAATGTTTGAACTTAGTTTAAAATTAACCATCAAAGATGTTAGCATATTAGGTGTTTTATTAGCATTTGTTAATTCATTTGTGATGAAGTCATTTCAGTGGTTAATTCAATTCAGCTAGTTAAATAGTAAAACTAATTGATTAGCCTGTGCACCTACGGTATTTATTTCTTAGCTTTTGAGTGTTATTAATGTAGCCAGTGTCAAACTAGATCTTCTAATTACTTTGGGAAATGCTGTTTATTATAAAAAAAGCAACAACAAAGCTATTTATATATATGTATACTTACTATACTATATGTATGCTGTGGCATGTTATGAGGCAATATTATTCTCAAGTGTGATGCCAGTTGTCTGGCTGGAATTTTTCATAAATAGGTATATTACAAATCAAAATTGTTTACTTATTCCATCTTGCCATGTTGAGATATTGCTGTTGGTTTATATAGACCCGCCTATCATTTTTGGGACGAAAAATTATCATTTTATATTCTCCATAAGGTATTCATTACTACCTGTCTCTATTTGTTTAACATAGTTCTTTATCTAACAGCATTTTAAGAAGCTATTGGTTGAGACCATGCAGTTAGCAGTGAAGAAAGTCAAACCAAGCGGCCACGGCAGGGAACCTTGTTATGTTACCTTCAATGATGAGGAATCTGCGCAGAAAGCATTGCTCCTGCTTGAGGGTTACAAGTGGAAAGGTCGAACGCTTTCTACAGCTGTGAGTCTCATATGTGTAGAGATATTGGTATAGAAAGCATTGAGCTCTCTACTGAAATTCTAGTTAAACTTGTGTGAAAATATTTGTAAATCATGAATTTGGGTTTTACGGAACATGAATTTGGTTTTTTGGTTTTACTACAGAAATTTTGACTACTACACTCATTGAAGAATTTTCAAATACAAAACATTGTTCAAGTTCATTGTTTTATCAAAATTCTTTTAATGTAAAGTGCAAATATTGAAGATGAAATCCTACTTAAGCTCCAATAAATCCAAAATATGTTCTAAATCTTATTGGCAGCCTGAAAAATCTTACATGTTTAAGGAAAGTGAATATTTAGATTATCTGTATCAGCAAGTTTCTTTCAAGAAAGCTTATGCACCAGCAAGTTTTTGTTACATGTCTGTTTATATTTCTGGTGGATATTTTCCCATTTAATGCTTATGCACATATTTGCAAACAGGTTTGGTTCTACATGTAAATATTTAGCTTGACTCTCATGAAAATGTCATGTCTTGAAAGCTTGGTTAATTGATCAATATCATAGGAATAATAAGTTCATGGTTACGTTGATATGGTACACCTAGACATAATTTTAGTCAATATATACCACGGTCAATGTATGTATATAATTTCATTATAGTTTTACAAAATGCGGCTGGACCTCATACGTTTCAGTATTGGTGCACAGCTTCAGCATCCTACAGTTTGTTTCAGATGCTTTGCAATGTATTGGTACTAATATTTAAACGTATAAATGTGTAAGATGTTCAAGCTAAATGCGGTCCATGTTCCAGAAAGCAAACCCTGCACCAGACCCTCTACTGCGAGTGCTGGAGCAGAAGGAGGAAGGCACCTACCGGCCTGATGGTGCTGTGGCAGACACGCTGCCTCTAGAGGAGCGAGTGATGCTCAGTGTCACTCCTTACGCCCACATCTCATATGATAAACAGGTCTCATTTGCTAAGTTTATATCAATGGAAAACTGCCTGTTATCATTTATAGAGTTTGATTGAGATCTATTGATGGGTTCAGATCAATACGGTGTAAGGTTTTTAGACCTTAGTGGAGCGAGTAACACTCATTGTCACTCCTTATGCCCACAACAAGTCTCAATTTGGATCTATTGAAAAGTTTACGTTGATGAAAACCTTCAGATATTGGGTACATAGTGAAGCTTGATTTGAATTTATTGATGAGTTTACGTGAAATGAAAAATCGGCTATCGGGGAGTGAAGCTCGATTTTTTCATTGATAATTAATATATATCAATGCGAGCCTGCCATTGGTAGTAAAGGTCGTATTGAATCCTTTGATTAGTTTATATTGATATATATAATTTATATAGTTTATACAAGGATAACTTTACGTTCAGTAGCATGTCTGTTATAGTGTAGTACGGTATAATTTTTTTATCATGGCTGAGATGTCAGATTTATCAAATTTTAGCTTAGGCTTGCCTTTTTTCTTCATTATTGCTGTAGGTATCATTGTAATTATGGATAGAACATTAATTTTGAACAGTAAAGCGTATACCTGACTGGTGCTGTAAGTTTAATAATTGCAAATATTCCAAATCTAGAGAAATGACGAGTAAATTCATTACAAATTTTTGGGTTCAAAGAAATTTCCAGTAAATTAGTTGGAGTTTCATTGGCATTTTCTTTGCTTTTAACTTTTTGCTACAATGCAATGTAAGCTGAGTAATGACAGGTGTAACTACTTGATTAATTTAAATGTATCACGTGTCATTAGGAGAATTTCCATGTATATAATCTCTATGAGAGTATGTCGTCTCATATGGTGTTTAGTTAAATGCAATTTGTGCTGATTAATGAAATATCTAAGTGATTAATCTATATGGAAGTGGCTGAAGTGGCTTGTACAGATTAGGTCCTCTGTATCAGGTGACTTTAGAAGATTTTCCGGATAATCTTTATCTCGTCTTATGCTTGGTCGAGAGTTGGAAAAGAGTTGGATGTTGCAGAAGAATGGTTATGTTATTATATGTTATATAATATAATTATGTTATATGTTATGTTATATATTATATAATTATGCAGTTGGAGAAGAAGCAAGACGCGGCACTGGAGATTCTGAGGAGGATTGGGCGCGAGGTGGGCAAAGTCAACCCTCAGCTTGGCAGCTTCTTGAGGTGGCAGAAACTGCGACACAAAGGAGCTGTGAGTCGAATAATTGCGAGTAACTGTTAATGCAAAAGTTTTAGGTCGGTTCAAGACTAGTTCAACAACCATTAATTGCGAGTAACTGTTAAATGCAAGAGTTTTAGGTCGGTTCAAGACTAGTTCAACAACCATTAATTGCGAGTAACTGTTAATGCAAGAGTTTTAGGTCGGTTCAAGACTAGTTCAACAACCATTAATTGCGAGTAACTGTTAATGCAAGAGTTTTAGGTCGGTTCAAGACTAGTTCAACAACCATTGATCACCATGTATATTTTGATTTTTCAATTTATTGTAAATGTATTCCTAAAATTTTTAAACTGATAATGGAGCTGGTCTCCGAAAAGTTTTCAATGAAGATTTGGTGAATTTACTTGGCATTTTCTTTGCTTTTGAATTCTCGCATAGCTCTTAATGTAAGCAAACTGGTGCTACTACTATAATTAATTGTAAACAACCATTTCATTACGGCAATCTCGAAACTACAGCCGAGAAAATGATCATTATTTGGATGTAGAGAAATGAAATAACCAAAAAGAGTGACTTACAAAATTACTAACAACTATTGGAAAAAATGAATCCCCAACAATACATTATTGTGCCTAGCTAACTATCTGAAGTAGTAATGTAGTCAGAGTCCATTCTCCTTATGCAAACATCCATAAAACAGATACCAGGTATTGTTTAGTTGTGCCTTTTATTGGAAGTATAGCTTCGATTCATTTAACTAAACCCTCCAATTATGGACCAGAAATGACCACTATGTGTACTTGAGCAAATTTTGATAGAACAGTTTTATCCTCTAGATGTTTATAGCACTGACGGCACTTATTATGTCTGTAGACAAATAGTCAGGTATTAAAATTCTGACTAGCATTCACGCAAAACTTTTGTATGACGTGTTCTCGCCAGGCACAAACAGCGGAATTAGGCATTAAAACTATAATAAGCATTTACTAAAGGCTTTTATATGACGTGTTCTCGCCAGGCACTAACAGCGGAGTTAGGCATTAAAACTATAATAAGCATTTACTGAGGGCTTTTATATGACGTGTTNGATCTCCAATCTAAACCCTCCAATTATGGACCAGAAATGACCACTATGTGTACTTGAGCAAATTTTGATAGAACAGTTTCATCCTCTAGATGTTTATAGCACTGACGACACTTAATATATTTGTTGACAGATAGTTAGGTATTCGCGCATGACTTTTGTATGGCATGTTCTCGCCAGGCACCAACAGCGAGACCAAGGCTGTCACGGTGGGCTTCCGAGTATCGAGCTATAAGGAGGGCAACGTGAGCGTCGGTCCTGTGATGCATCTTAAGCACATTAGTGATGCCATGAAGTCCGTTGTCATGGTACGCTTCTTACCCAAATTGTTTCAGTTTCATACATTGCTACTTCATGGTTCTTATTCTACCGTAATCCAGTCCAAAATTTTTCACACAAGTTGAAGTGGGTTTTATTCTTGATCGTAAAATACCGGTAACTTAACTATTACTATATGATGATTCTATAGGCAGTTTCTTTTAAAGACTTGTACTTATTATCATATCGCAGGTATCCTATGCACTATGTTTTGAATCTTCATCATTGTGATATTGAATGTTTTCTACGTGCAGTCTTTCGAAGAGTTTGTACGGTCATCTTCATACGCAGCTTTTGACCCTATCACACACGAGGGCGTGTGGCGACAGCTCACCGTCCGGACGTCCAACAATAGCGACTGTCTGCTCGTCGTCGTGGTTGGTTGGCTTATCAACACCGCAAACAGATGGAGTGCTACTGACTTTTCGGCATAATTTTTTCGACAATTCACAACTAGTAGCTGAGTGACGTTTTACGGTTACAGTTCTGTTGTCGCTGCTTCATGCCTTGTCTATAATTATTTCATATCTGGTTGAGGTTTTACCTGACGCATGCCTTGTTGACAATCGACACCTTCCGTCGAATTGACAGTCAGATTTTCTTTGTGCCAGGCGTTTTTGAAAATCGTCATACCAAATCTAGTTGACATTGATTTAGCTGAATGCTTTTTATTTAGGTACTTTTGTTTAAAACTGACGCCTCAAATATGCTTGACTTTTTACATGGTTGTTGCATTTTTGGAAAATAACACCTAAAATATGCACAACTTTTTACTTGTTTCTTTACGCATCGCTTAAAATATTCAGTTCAAATCTGATTGACGTTTTCTTAGCTGGATGCATTGTTGGAAATATCTATAACTTACTTCTGGATTCAACCATTTCATCAATGTATTCGTCGTATTCCATGCTATTTTACTATATATGCACTTGGCTCGTTTTTGTGCTTGAGATTTTGACATATTTTTCATCGGGATTCGTTTAATATTTATTCAGGCAGCTGCTCACAATCCCATAGTCGTTATGAACAATTTTATTTATCATTGAAAATCACATACTTTGACCAAGTATAAGCATTTTATTTTATTATATCACTGCGAAAGATTATGTGCTGGCATTAATTTTGTTTTCTTTCTAATGCTTGCTTTGGAATGAGTGATCAGAGCTCAAATTTTAGAGCAGTCACTACCATTCATTTATCGCTATGCTATTCGTTATGCAGGTTATTTATGAGAAAAACTACCATGCATTTATCGCCATGCTATTTGTTATGCAGGTTCACCCCCAGAAGCTGGGGTCTGAAGGCCTGGGTCTGCTCAAGGAGCGTCTAACGCAGTACTGCCGGGACACTGGGTCCGCGGCCGGTGTGACTGGACTTTACTGTGTCGTCACGGGCCAAAAGTGGGTCAAGCCTGGCAATAAACACTAATTATAATTCTCAATCTAAAAGATTTTGTCCAAAACCAAAATTTTTAGTGTTTTTTGAATGAGTTTGTCGAAAAAAATTAATCATAAGTATGAAAGCTATGATAAGTTGACATCTCAAAATGTGATAACCTTATCTGTTTTCTTTAAATTTTCCTCAATTTGTTGATCTATTTCCTTCATCGGATCCAGATATAGGTAAATTTTGTGAAGAGTTTGGAGATATTTCTCATCATGTATTCGGAATTTATAATAATGGGAATATGTTGTAAGGGCCTTATAATTGTAGCATAACTTGCTTTCACTAGTCACTTGTCCATTACAAAAAGTGAATTTTTGCGCGTATAACTAGCCAATCGGTCTTAATAAATTTCAGCTTTTTGAGCTTACATAGGTATACGGTATATTTAAATTTTCTTGGTTTTAATTCACAATTTTTTTGCTCACAAAATAAAATGTTCAATTTTCTTCTGGCTTCCAAATGGAAGTTGAAATGAAAATTATATGTTAAAAATTTGTGTGAATGATTTTTCTATCGTTATAATTACTTTAGTACTATAATCAGCAAGGAGATTCTGGATGAGAAGTACGGATAATGGATAATTGGATTCACAGGGATTATTATTTCTCTAATTAACAAGGTGATTCTGGATAAGTAGTACGGGATAAAGGATAATTGGGTTCGCAGGTATTATCTTTACCGAGCTTCGTCTGTTAGCTGATCAAGCTCGTACGTATTCACAATACCTGTTGTGTCGGGATATTACCAAGCTGGGGCCATACTTTCAAAACTCACTAAGTGAACGTAAGTACTTACGCTCCATTTTCTTGTCTGTGATTGGTGGATTTTGCTTGAAAGGCTGTCACTGATTGGCTGATGAACTTACGATCTCGTAACTTTTTTTTGAAAGTGTAGGCCTTGGCCTTGATCCGCCTTGATCACACTCAGCTGCTAACTGTTCATATAGTTATAAATTAGTGCTTGTTTTCCGAAATTTTCTGAAATATAATATTTTTATTTTAATTGTATTAAACTTGCTTCATGTACGGTAATATATTTTTATTAATTGTCACGCAATGAAAATTTTTTCACGCTAAATGCAAAAAAAAAATAAAAAATAAAACAGAAAATAAACCTTATAACAGAAGCTACTTTCTATAGGTATGTCAACCTTTCTTTCAAAACAATAAGAATGTAATGCTTCACGATATTAACCGGTATGATAAGTGCAACATATTCTCAGTGTCTAAACCAAAACCAGCGGCGTGGCAGACTCGCTATTTGGACAAAATGTCACTCATTTCCCTGATTGTGTGTATTTTGCTCCAGAACAAGCGGCGTTGCAGAGTCGCTATTTGGACAAAGTGCTGCTCATTTCTTTGAGCAGCACTTTCTTATCTCATTTCTTCATTTCATTTCTCAAAAAAATATCTCATTTCTTTTTTTTTTTGTTTATTTTGCTCCAGAACAAGCGGCGTTGCAGAGTCGCTATTTGGACAAAATGTCACTTATTACTCTGATTGTGTGTGTATTTTGCTCCAGAACAAGCGGTGTGTCGGACGAGTATGAACATCTGTGGGGCGCTACGCACATCACAGAGACGGTGCTGGGCAAGACCTTCAGGATATCACCTCAGGCCTTCTTCCAGGTACTCGCTTCTGCAACACCTCGCCTCGTATACATTTTTAGCGCATTTTCTCATTTATGAAAAAATGCACTATTGTGCTCGCCATGTCCGTCTGTCCGTCCGTCCATCTGTCCGTCTGTCTGTCTGTCCATATGTCCGTCTGTCCATATGTCCGTCTGTCTGTCCGTCCGTGACTTCATGTTTTCGTCGACGAGAAAATGTTCTCTCTATCACTCACTGCGGTGAGTACTTAGTTCTATTTTTTAATAACTTTAATTTACTGCTCGGTGTGTCTTGTGAAAAGAATTGTTTTATCCCAAATCACAAATAATTTTTGTTCTTAATAACTCTAATGCATTACTTTGCATGTGTTGTGATTAGTTATTTTATTGCAAATCACAGATGATTTCGTTTAAGTGAAGTAAGCCATTTATTTGAATGTACCGATAATCATTACTGAAATTTGGTCTCAAGAGAACACTTCGGTGTCTTATTACTGCGAAATTTTATTTGCATTAATATACGTATCTAAATACCTACGTACTGTGTGCTCCACCGGAAAATTTTCTTGACACAGCGTATTTGTAACTCAATAAACTGGGTCGGGAATGGGTTTCATGAATGTTAAGAAGACTTGAAATCCAATTTCCTCAAATGTTTGGCGGCATTTTATCAGAAACATTAAAGAAATTCACTGATAACAATTATGATACTTGAGAGTTAATCAGCACGAACGTTTTAAGGCTTAGAACATTAGTTGCTGCTGCAACTGAAACGCAAGTTGTCTGATGCATGAAAAGCTTCCTCTACTTCGTTCATTCATTCCTCTACTTCATTCAGTTATGCCACATGTGTTCGTAGCACATTCCTTTATATTTCTTTCATAATATATCAGAACCACATCCTCTTAGCAGTTCAGAAATTTATTTTCGTCCATTGCCTTTACCTAAATATTGTGAACTAATCTCGTTATAATGGATTTGGCTTCACAGCGAGATATTTTATACTAAAAAGTACAACATAAAGTCTTCATAATTCAACGCTTGTTTAGGTGAATACTCCAGCTGCAGAGAAGCTGTACGAAGCCATCGGGGTGCTGGCAGAGCTGGACCAGACCACCGCCCTGCTCGATGTCTGCTGCGGCACTGGCACCATTGGGATCTGTCTAGCTGAGGTGCCTACTGTGTGCTTATGGGGTAAACATGTATAAAATTTAACTTAACCTAACATATCAAATCAATATCGCCGTTGAAGAATAGGTCCAGTTTGCCTGTCGCCATATTGTGTATGTTGTCGTACTTGATATCTGAAGATAATTTGGAATTGACATCGCTATAACTCAGATCTACTTTCACATTTTTTGGCTTATTTTGTGACAATGGAAGATCATCGTGAACATTCAACTGTGAGTTGATGTTTTTATAATAATTTAATATGTTTATTATTGTGGGTTGCTTGTGTTAATCATTAGACACCAGCAAAAAGTTGTTTGATGGATAAATAATTGGCGCTTGTGATGGCTATAGTGCCTGCAATTTTTATGCTTCCTTCAAAATTTAGTTGTCCGTCGGACCACAGCACGATATATGTATCAAGTTTTCATTCAAAGGAAAAGCTAATTAAACTAAAATTCTCTAGCTGGACTGATTACATGTCCTGATATGTACAGAAAGCCTGCAAGATATTCGGCCTGGAGATCGTTGATGAGGCTGTAGCAGACGCCCAGCACAACGCTGCTGCCAACAACATCACCAACATCGACTACCTCCTCGGCAACTGTGAACAAACTCTGCCTTCTATTTACGGCGCCGTCAATGCTCTGCAAGTCAAGGCTATCGTCGACCCTCCCAGAGCTGGACTCCGTTAGTACACTCAGAAAAATTAATGGCTCATATTGCAATAATGACATACACCTCTATTTACGGCGGAGTTAATGCTCTGCAAGCCAAGGCTGGGCTGCATGAGTAATATTAGACAAATTAATGGTTCATATTTTCCCATCCCGTTTGGTCCTATATAAAAATTAATCAATCATATTGCAATAATGACACACTTTTTTACCCTAAGCATAAGTAGAGAGCGAACGTACCATTGATACGCCTTTTAGCTGGGCCAGACTGGGTCAGGATGACCTAGATAAGAACAAAATTGCGTCGCTATCCCCGCAAAGTCTCCTTGATTACTCTGAGTGCATACGTGTTGATTTGCCCTGCACGCTGAGCCGAGGACGGTATGTGGGTTCACCAAACATGTAGTTTTTCCCAAAGTGTATTTTTACCAAATGAAGTGCTTTGCCAGTCCCTTATCATTGTTAGAGTACCACATAATGATGCAGTCACTTTAAAAAGGGAAGTATTTCTGCTAAAGTTTGTTGGCATTTGGTACCCTTCTAACCACAAAGCTTTTATTTTTATAAATGGAAATATTACTAATAAAGTTTGTTGGCATTTGGTACCCTTCTAACCACAAAGCTTTTATTTTTATTGCAACATATTGACTCCGACTTGCCATAGCGATCTAAGTCTCAATTCCAATCTCTATCATTGTCCAAAATTTCCGCACTAAACATGGCTCTAACAGTCTAACCTATACGCTGTTGTGACTTGTGAGGTTGTGAGGTACTTGAAACAAACATGGTAGCTAGTGTACTTGAGTATATTTCATGTGAGTGTTTCATGATGTTGTGTTCGTAACGCATTTCATGTGCGTGTTTCATGATGCGGTGTTCGTAGCACATTTCATGTGCGTGTTTCATGATGCTGTGTTCGTAGCACATTCCATGTGCGTGTTTCATGATGCGATGTTTGCAACGCATATCATGCGCTATGCTCATGACGTATTGTGTATGCAGCGAGCTCGGTGATCTCGTCTCTACGCCGGCACGCGGAGGTCTCCAGCGTCGTGTACGTGGCCTGTGACCCCAACAGATGCCATCAGAACTTCCAGGCTCTCGCCAGGCCCCCGAGCAAGTCCATCAAGGGCCAGTTCTTCGTCCCCGTCAGGTAATTGTTCTAACTCTATTTCCATTCCTGTTCTATCTCTATTCTTTTTCTGTGGCTATCCCTTTTCTATATTTATTCCTGTTCTATATCTATTACTGTTCTACTTCTATTACTGTTCTACTTCTATTACTGTTCTACTTCTATTACTGTTCTACTTCTATTCATTTTTTATATCTATTTTAAATCTTATTCTATTTCTTTCAAACGGCCATGTGGGCAGTGCAGCACATTAGTGTGAGTTGGTGCAGAATTCCTGAAACGAGCTTTGGGAGTGAATATTTGAAAGGAAATTAGCAGATTCTCAGCGATTGATGCAAGATGAGTTTAGCATTGCTTTAGCCGCCACTGACAGCGTTAACGGGTGTGGTAACGGCTGCTATTTTCACTGAATTAGCCTTTATACTCCTTATTTTTTCAGCTGCTCCACACATAATCTTAAATAATTATAATCTAAAATAAATACGCAACTCTCATTTTTTACCGCTTCTGTTTTCACTGAATTAGCCGGTAGACTTCGCCAGGCAGTGTTTAAAAATTGGACTTAGCCCTCATCGATCGATCAGGCCCTCTTCTGACTGGGATATATTGAAGCCTTAAATTCTAAATAGTAGTTTTTAGGGAGAAATTTGTTTTACAAGCTGGCAACAGCTGTATAAATTTCGTATGAAAAATTGAAAATATTCCTGAATGAAGTGTACATTTATAGTTGTTCATGATTGGTCAAGTAAACTTTATGTAGGTACCGTTTCACATTAGTGTCGTGATTTTATATTTTTTGACAAGCGTTTCTCCATACAAACTCTAGATGTCATGATTACATATGTGATCATAAGAGAATGTTTTTGTGCATACTCAATGAACGTTAATATTTTTACAGTTGAGACCGACACATTAATGAATTGTTTCTATGCATATTTAAAAAACGTTAATACTCTTAATTCATTTAAAGTTGACACGGACATATTGTTGAATTGTTTCTAAGGGTATTTAAAGAACGTTAATTATCTTACTTAATTTAAAATTGACACGGACAGAGCGGTGGCGGTGGACCTGTTCCCCCACACGGACAAGTTCGAGCTGGTCCTGCTGTGGGAGCGCTACGACGAGGCCAAGTGGCGCTCCATTATTGACGGTATGAACATCAATTATATTTGCATATGACACAACACCGCAATCAGCATGGTAAATGATTATATAGGTATGTCGTTGGCAACCTTATTGAAATACATGTAGTAGTAATGCACTAATACCTTGTACGCACCTACGTAGCCTGCAACTAGCTAGTCCTGCCGCCTGTTAACGTTGTAAAATTATACCAGAAATTAAATATTTTATTCTTTAACTTAATTTTCTTGTATTCTTTATTCTTATTTTTTTTTTCGGTGTTAATGCTTCATACAGTTGCTTCTCCCTGAGAAAAATTGTTTCGTGCTTAGTTTACCAAATATTCATGAACTTGATAACAATCATTTCTACGAATCACAATATGCGTTGGAACAGCATCAATCATGCACTATTCTCCCATCCACGAAGATCAAGGATTTCTGGCCCTGACACAGAATGCAGACACTCGATTTGCGCCTTATTAATTTGACGATAAGAAGCTAAGTAGATAAATTTCGCCTTTTGGATAAAATTCCTTTTTATGGTGTCTCCAATTGTATTATTTTTCAGATAATCCTCGCGCAGGTGACGAGAAATATCTAACCGGCGTTACTGACTCGCCCAGCGAGGCTGGCGGCAACACGAAGCTCGATGAGCAGCAGAGCTAGGTAACCGAGCGTAATCAGAACATTCTCATTTTATCGCAGGTTTTACCTATCACTAATTGTTAAATATTGATCGATATTATTTTGTGTATCAATCTAGTTAGTAAAATTATTTCTTACTGTTGGAATTCGTGGGTTCACTGGAATTTTATCTATTAATATACTTGAATTCAGTGGAGTTCTATCTGTTTTAATGCGTGCATTCATTGGAGTTTATCTGCTAGAATGCTTCTTCTAAAGGGCTTGGATTTTCATCAGTATGTCAGTTGAGTATTGTGGTACAAAAATTTTACTTTTCTTTTGCCTTCTAATTTGAGTCAATGTTATGTGGCAGTCAGAAAGAAAAATGTATATCAGATGAAACTAACATCGTCTTGCATCTGACCTCCTATTTCTAAATCCCCAGCTAATAATAAACGTTTCTTAAATAATCTGATTAAACACTTTTCGCCTAATAAGTAAGGAAAATCATGGAACATTGGTAATTTTTAAGAATTCTATGTGCGTGTACACCACAACTGTAAATTATCTTCCTTCGTTTCACGTCGTAACCTGACATTAAATTAAATATTTTTCTTGTCAATATTGCAGGGAGACGGAGTTCGTCCAGGTGCCTTGCCGTGCGTAGAAGGAATGGATTCTGACTCAACTGCAAGCTTGAAAAAATTACACAGCGCGCGACTGATTAATTTAATTACCAGCTAATTTCTGCTTGCCACCTTCCCCAGGAGCCCTGGGGCTGAGGGCGGCAGAATTATTTAGGTCGGCGAAATACTTAGGCGGTTGAATGCGATCCAACTTGGACTGAGTAATATAATAATTACGAAAATAATTATCAGGGTTACCAAGGTTAAACATAGGTTTTTTACTGTTCAATAATTCACTACGAAATGCTCGAAAAGGTGTAAAGGATTATGTCTAAGCTAATTATTGGCGGCCGCCAATAAATATCACGACACGCACGCCAGCAACTAAGTATAATTCATTAATTAACAGCCTTTCGTATTTTATTTTAATTTAAATTGTATTGTTACAGTGAAAAACTTCATCGAAATTCGGTTATGGCTGTTATAAGAAAGTTTTTTTCGTCAAGCCTACGTCAATAGATTTAATTTAAGGTCCCGTATATTGAATGCAAGTTTTTTATAGTGTACGGAGCTTGCATATTCCAATCTTTCGGTAAACATACTTTTCACGGATTACTTAATTCTAAGCCATCGATTATTTAGGCGATGGACTTATACAAGAAGTTAAGAAATCATTGAACTATCGCTCTGACTATTGAACTAAATAACCAGTTTCCGGGAGCTTAGGTCAATACGAATATAACGGAACAGATCGGGGGTGTGGTTTCTGATAACGCATAACTGTTAATTCAAGAGGCGTTTAACCCGAGGCGGTTATAAATAATTTCACTTTTGAATACGATGATCCATTGGTTTGCGGATCATTAAGCTGCATATATACTGGTGGTGCCTTGATTCATTCCACTTTTTCCCAAGTACGAGTAATGAATTAGGCTTGTTTTCTCCTTGAATATAACGCCTTTGAGACTGCACCCGATGTTGAGAAAATTTGCAGTTCTTCGTTTTCAAATAGATAAGATTGGTGCTTCTCATTGATGGAGAAGATCATTTCTAAATTGGAATGAAGTCTCTGGAAAAATATTCTTGCTAAATATACTCCGGCCACGAAGTTAATAAAGATCGAGATCTCTCCTGTAGAAAAACTTTTTCAAGTTTTGTGCAAAACCTGGTCCTGGACACATGATAGGACGAACTCGGATAGTGAATATTTTTTGAACCTGGACAATATTATTTAATAGTAAAGACAAAATGACGAATTTTTCGAAGCATTGTTTATGAAGATGTGTGCAAATGGCATTGCGGTTATGGCATAGAACATCTGAAAGTAACGGTAAAGAAGATTAGTAGATTTTTGACTCCATACTTCGTGACCACAGCCCATAAAGATGAGGGTGAGCTCTGGATAGGCCATCAAATGATGTGCGTTGCCATTCGTTTTCTCAAATCGTTTGCTTAAAATACTTGAAAAACATTCGATTTTTACTACTGTCTTCAGTCCCATCTCGCTTGAAAGTTTTCCTGTTTCCAATTAAAGTGCGTCTGAAAATCTAATTGCCCTATAAAACTATGTAAAACTGTTTCAGTCCCACTGTAGATACTTCTCTGCTGGTTGAATTAGTGCCTTTTTTCATGATGAACATTTGTCTGTGATCCCTGTTAACGTTTGATAATAAAGCTCGTTTCTGCTTTCATCTTTATCATTTCCTTCGTTGCATCGATTTTAACCTGAGAATCTATATTCGTAAATAACGGGTTTGTCTTGTTTGTCTTATTTTAAATTTCTATATTATATTTTCTTCACGTTGATTGCTCATTTTGAATTAATAATTGCAGTTCATAATTAATGGTGACCAACACAAGAACCCTTTAATTAATATTCGCATAATGCGGTTGTAAAAATTGGAAGCCACTACGATCGGTAGGACTAATAACATCAGTAAAAAACCTAATTTTCCTTCAGTAAGAGAATACTTGGTCGATCAATTTCTCATTTATTATATTCAAATGTATATGAATCGGCAGTTCACATCATGGTTGAATTATTAACTAGCTCAGTGGTTAAACTAGCCCAGTCTTTTAAAGTTCAGAGTACCAAGATTGGAGCTGAGAGGTGCGGGTTCGATCCCAGCTCTGTGCGTCAGTTTTGGTCAGAATCGGCAAGGAGGCCGCGGGCAGAATTGCAAAGCAGAATTGGAGCAGTGAGTTGCGACTTCGAGATCGCAACAAGCGGTGAATGTTCTGCGATGTTAAGAATCGGCAACAGGCCTAAGGCCTAATAAACGCTGAAACCGCTATTATTATTATCGTTAATATTAAATATGCATTACCGTCTATGACGCATAGGCGCCAATCAGCAGCCATTGCTCATACCGCGCTGTTCGTCACCAACAACCATTGATAACACTGGTCAGAATTACGATTTGTACGATTTCTTCACAATAACTTGAATGTTTTTTTTTCGATTGTGCTAAAAAGTTGTGGCTCAGATTTGTTGCCAAATTAGATCGATTCTTCTGTAGGCCGGCGACATTAGTTCTGTGGCGAAGTAAGTGGCATTGACGGTAGACGGTATTTCAACAATTGTTCACATATACTTTGGTTTACCCAATAAGATTATGATAATAAAAAATGAAATAAGAACTAAGTTTAAAATATGATTCAATTAAGGTTCATTTATTCACTGAAATGTTTAGCAGGTCGGGTAATTTCGAGTAAACAGATGATTGAATAGGAAAAAATATTCTATTAAAAGTGGTATATTTTTTTACCAAAGCCCGGACGCTACCTACTTCATTTTGAGATCCCTCACGGCAACGTTGCCAAGTATATAACTGTTCTCTAGGGACGGTTGCACTTTTGCAATGTGGATAAATTTTTACTAAAATTCCTATATTTACGTTCTGCACATGTACCAGAACCATCCTGGTACTGCGAAGGCATGGTATAAGTTATCACATGATCGCATTGTAATTAGTATGACGTTTTAGTGAGTGAGTAGCAAGCATGTGCACGAATGCAAGGCTGCAAGCTATGGCAAGTCGTGGCCAGTGGCCACCCAAGACCCACGTCCGTGTCCACAGAACATCAATACCAGTTTCCGACGGCTGCGCTGTAGTTACCGACTAATTCCGGCCACTCTTCTATTGTCACTGCAGTTAACAAACTAATTCAAATATCACTAGTCTAATTATTGAACAATTTATACCAAAAAAAGTTTTTAGCTATAGGTGGCATACGTTAACAAATTTTATTTAAATATTTTATTCCCAAAAAATTGTATGAATATGAGTGCCATCGTGTGCATCGTCCAAGTTTCCAACGAAAGTGCGTCTTAGTGTCAGTGCACTACGATAACTGTTTACAATTGAATTATTTATTTGTTATAGAACTTGAAATTTCATTCCGAGGCACCATATAGCACTTAACGAGTGTTGTTTAAAGAGTTTTAGTGAAATAACATAGGTAATTTAGCAAAATGTAACTGCAAGTAGCATATGGCAACGATACAACGTGCGCAGTTCCGTGCTGTTATAGGCTCTTGCCACCTAGCGGGAGGAGCCTCGGTGATTTGTGGCCGTTAACTTTGACAGTTGCTATGGCAACGCAGGGAGGATAAGCGCACTAGTTATTGTTTGTTTGCTTCAGGGCAGGCAAATAAATGGCGGGATCTGCACAACATGGCAGCTGCACATATATGATTACTGTGGCATGAATTCTAGAAGATAAATGTTAATTGTGCGAACAGACTGGTTTGCTGGTTCTCAATTTAATCAATAGAGAAACCACATACATACTCCTCAATTTACTGTGAAAAATAATAGATGTTGAACAATAAGAAATATTGGCAATCCATGACAAATGGAGTGACAATTAGCTAATTATGCATTACTTATTCACCACAATTGCCGCTGTCTGCGAAGATTAGCCGTTTCTTCGCATTATAGTTGCAACTAATAGATACGCTGCTTAGGAAATTCATTCATCTCTAGCATTTATATAAACTTTCGGGAAAAACATGCGTCAATGTCCGTTTTTATGTCATCAAGATAAAATTGGATCAAGTTGTGTAAAAATTTGTCTTGATGTCGCAGTCAAAAGACAAGTCGAATTGGTGCTTGAAATCCGGCCTCGGTCTACTCTAAGTCTTCCGCATTATACTGATGAAATCCGGCCTTTAAATTTCAAGCTCACATCCGTACAAGATTCAAACAAAAATTGTTTGAAAAGTTGTTGATCTGTAACTTATCAAACGGTGGACACATTTTTTTTCTTTTGTTGTAATAATCGAAGTTACAAACTTTTCTCTGTTTTCATTTCCCAACACATGTGATCGTAAAAAAATTACAGTGTCTCGAATAATCGTGCCGTTATCTTAAAAAAAAACAAGTTGGGATTTTTCACTTCATGTACAATTTTACAAATGACTGTGTGCATTGTATTTGTTCACGCAGTAGATATCACGAATATATTACATGATACTAACTTAAGTCCATTTAAGCTCATTTTGCACCGTATTCTTTTGCGCCGAGTTCACAAATTCTAATATTTCAACTCTGACAAAATTACGCGCGCCCCGAAATTTCCCCGCCCAATAGCGCGTGACTGAAATAACTTTATTGAATTCCTCACGACCGAAGGCTGTGAAAATTTCTTAGTTGTGAACTGCACCTGCGGCCTGAAGCTCAAAAACGACCAACGTACGCCACGTGGAAGAAATTGTATTAACTGGACCAGCCTGTGTGTTGAATTAGAGTGAGTTGTTGTAGGTCAACTTGGACGTTGAATTTGAGTGAATTAGTATAGGTCAATTTGTGCTTCGAAAGGTAGTAAATTATAGGTAAATGCAATAGGCTGACACAAATTAAATTACCTGTACAATAAGACTTAAATAAAGGAGACTAACTTATTGTGAGATTTTTTATTAGTATAAATAAACTCATATATATACCCTGCCAAATCTGTTAAATTAAAATAAATCAGCTGAGCCAATTTCGAACTCAAAATAAGCTGAATTTGTCAAGCCAAAGTTTTGCGTGAAATCAAATTGCTTCAATAGGTTAATTTTGTCAGTTGATTTTGATTGAATTAACTATATATTGGCCTATTTTGTATGAGCTGTTAAATTTATATTATCTTGATGAGATCCATTTTATCATACATTTAACTTTTGATATTTTTTTAATGTTTGATCTATAGTAATTTTCTTGCTAAAGGTACGAGTAAAATCATTGTTGTCTACTTTTTATTCTGTTATCTCAAGTAATTCGCATTCTTCCGTTTCGAGGACTTCGATTCAAAACCTACAAATTCCTAATGTATAATTATTATATGGAACGTAGAAGTCTCGGTAAGAAAAACAATGAAGTGGGTTCAATGTTTTCCCCCTTGAATATTTATTAAAAATTTTCATGCAGAAACAGAAAATAGAAACGCTTTAAAGATCTTGAAAAATTTTTAGATTGTATTGAAGTTAACTATTCATTGAAAATTTACCTGTGAATAATTCGAAGCTACGAAGGAAAGAACGAGAAGGAAAAAAATGTGATAAGGAAGGATTACGAGGCGCAGAGGAGGTCGTAAGTGCAGAAAGTAATGTCGTAATCAGGTCGTAAGACGGCCGTATTAAGGCCTAAGTTGCTGCGATGCGTGTTATTTTCGTCTAGTTTAGTTTTACGAAAACGCGTTTACTATACTTTGTAGATTGTCTTCGACTTGGTTTTAACGAAAGAATTCACTGTATTTAATCTTGAAAAGAAAATCGTCCTGTTGAAGATTAACTTAATGATCGTATTTCTCTGATTTAACCTTAATCCAAACTTTAGTTGATATCCTTAAAACAGGAGTTTGCTGCCTTCGAGAAAAATTCAGTAAATTCACCATATCTGTAAATTCACCGTATCTGTAAATTCACCATATCTGTAAATTCACTATATCTGTAAATTCACCATATCTGTAAATTCACTATATCTGTAAATTCATCATATCTGTAAATTCACTATTTCTGTAAATTCACCATATCTGTAAATTCACCATATCTGCAAATTCACCATACCTGTAAATTCACCATATCTGTAAATTCACCATACATGTAAATTCACTATTTCTGTAAATTCACTATATCTGTAAATTCACCATATCTGCAAATCCACCATACATGTAAATTCACTATTTCTGTAAATTCACTATATCTGTTAATTCACCATATCTGTAAATTCACTATATTTGTAAATTCATCATATCTGTAAATTCACTATTTCTGTAAATTCACCATATCTGCAAATTCACCATACCTGTAAATTTACCATATCTGTAAATTCTCCATATCTGTAAATTCACCATATCTGTAAATTCACCATATATGTAAATTCACCATATCTGTAAATTCACCATATCTGTAAATTCACCATGTATATATGTTTACTCACCATATTTACTTGGCTTTTCTCCCTTTTCAAATTATTGGTGAACTTGGAATTTAAACAGAATAAAGATTAGAGTAATAGAAATAATATAGATGAGGGCAAATGTCATGTGTGTATGGCTCCTGACTAGAGATGAAAGAATTCAACTTATAATTGCATTTATGTATTCTGCAAAATAGTAACTATATACACATATATACAATAAGAGGCTCGGCGCAGGTAGGTTGTTAATATCAACCGATGTTATTCGATCAGGATTGACAT